TGAACAGTGGCTGCAGGTGAGAGTTAAATGGCAGGTTCTTGGGAATTGCCAGGAACCCCAGTCGTCTGAACTGTACCTAGGAACTTGCTGTGCCACAACCGGAAGGTCCATGGGTTACTATGAGTATTTTTATCCTTTCTCTCAGTGTGGAATCAAAACTAAAGTACACTCATGGGATATTCTCATTGAAAATTCAATCAATTATGAACCGGAAAATTCAGATGTCTGGGGTTCCTTACCAATATCATGCTATAGCCAAAGATCATTTACATTAAAGCGTTTGAAAAGGTAAAAGACAGTAATGGTGATGAGTCAAAAAAATCAGCAGGAAAGAAGAGCTCAACTTCACATGAAGTGAAAAACCTGGGGACCCATCCAGAAGGGACAGTAAGGCCAATCTCTTTAATAAACATAGATGCAAGAATTCTCAATAAGATACTGGAAAACAGAATAAAGTAAATGATCAAAAAGATTACACACCATGATCAATCCCCCAGCCTATCTCAGAAAATGCTTCTTTACTGAGACTATTGAGTACAAAAATCATCACTTGAATTTTTAACACAGTCAAAACTTAGCCAATGCTCCCCGTATCTTCCCAGTTATTTGTGCTTGGTTTTGGGGGGAAGATGAGGAGTAATCAGCTAGACTTCTCCCTCCCTCATACACCTCACACTAAATCTCCAGAGCTTGTTGTCTCTCCCTCCAACATTGATCTCGAAGCCATTCTTTCCTCCCCACCTCCATTGTTTACAACTGTTCTAGTCTGACCACCACCATCTCTCACCTAGACCACTGAAAGAGCCTCCTGAAAAATCCAACCTTTTCACTTTTGTGCCCTTCCCATTTGGACATCCTACTATACAGAGGCCAAAATGATGTTTTTTAGTTTTTAAAAATCCTGCTTGTGCCACCCCACTGTTTTAAGCCCCTTAACAGCTTCTCAATAGTAAGAAGAAAGTTTTCAAGATTTTGACATAGCCTAAAAGACAGTTAGCTAAGGTAATGATCTCTCTTTGGGGCCTCATCTCTGGCCATCCTTTTTTCTGTTCTCTGCAATCCAAGCTTTTCTTTCAAATGCCAAACTCCTCAGTGACCTCACAGCCTCAAAGCCTTGGACTAGGGTGTCCCTTCACATTCCCCACAACACACCACATGCCTGTACATCTGGAAAAGTCCTCTTCTCCTTTCAGTTGTCAGTCTAAATACCACTTCCTCTGGTACTGTCCCTTTCCTCTAGAGCATAATAGATGCCTATGATCTTTAGGAACCCTGCACTTTCCCCCCATACTGTGTGTTACAAGTGCAATGGCATCATTATTTTGTGATTCTCTGCTTAGAGAATCACAGATTTTTCTACTATTTGATTAGCTCCTCAAGAACAGGAGCCAGGACTCAGTTGCTCATTGCCGTGTGCCCAGATCTGGGGCAGACCCAACATAAGGGTGGAGGTGGCTCTGAACTCCAGGGAATGAGCCTATGGCTGGTGCAACAACAGACTGGGCAGAAGGAGTAAGCCTAGAAATGAGCCCCATTCTCCATGGGCCTCCCAGTCTTGCTACCTTGCTGCTTTCTCTACAGTCTTTTATCACTTTTAACCATCATCCTATAAACACGTTACCTTAAAGTGGTTGAAAATATGCCACTTTAGCAGAAGGTGCTCAGGAGAAGCAACCAGTTTTTCTGCTCAGCTCCCTCCCCTCAGGCCACAGTCAATTGTTGTCTTTGTATTTGTTGAGAATGTATAAATGAGGCATGGTCTTGTATTCTCCCCTCCAACTCCTCACCCTGCTCAATGTCCACTTGCTCCCTCCAGTCCCTCTATCTCAAGTTTCATCTTGTTTCCCCATCTTTCTACCATTCTGGCCCTCTCTCTGTAGCCTTCAAATTTTGAGAGGGTGGTTAAGAGGGCCCTACCTTGGTCCTCTAGCACCCTTGATCTCTTCTACTGACTTTTTCTTCTTCCCCCAATGCCAAAGTTCTTGGAAGAATTGCTACATATGCACCATTCACTTCCTTACCACCCACTCATTGATTTTTATTGTTCTATTTCTTGAATAGTTAATATATGCTCACAATTCAGAATTCAAAACATTCCAGAAAGGTACATAGTGAAGCATCTTCCTTCCACTTGTTTCCCAAGCTTCATGTTCTCCTCGGAGGCAACCCCCACTGTCAATCTTGTTTATCTTTCCAGGGAGAATATGCATAAATATATTCTTCTTTCTGCTTTTATACAAATGAAGGCATTTAAACACATTTTCTATGCTTTTTTTTTAAACTTAAAATATCTTAGAGCCTGTTCTACATCAGTATATCCAAGCTGCCTCATTCCTTTCAATGGGTGCCTGGATTCCACTGTGAGGATGTACCATAAATCCTCTACTCTGGACACAGAGAATTTGCATTCCTTTGTCCTAGCAAACATGTTGCAGTGAGCAACCTTACACATACAGGATTTTTCACCCTTGTGATGCATCCTTAAGATAAATCCATAGAAATGAAATTGCATTTTGCATTTTGAAATTAAATTGCTCTCAACAGAATTGTACCAATTCATCCACCCACAGCACGATATGGAAAGGCCTTGTTTCACCCTTGTACTCTCCAAAATATTTTTAACACGTTTTTATTTTTGTCAGTCTAATAGGTGAAAAGTTTGAACACATCAAAGATTCTTCTTCTGTTTAAGAGCCATTTGTTTTTCTTCTGTGAATCTTCTGTCTGTCCTTTACCCATAACTTTTGGTCTTTTAATGATTCCTAAGAACATCTTAAATTAGAAAATTACTTCAAAATTGGTTTGGGGATGTAGCTCAGTGGTAATAATGTACTTGCCTAGCATGTGTGAAGCCCTAGATTTGACCCACAGTATCACAAAAAGAAAAAAACAGAAAGAACATTAGCTCCTTCCTGTGGTATGTGTTGTATTTTCAGTCACTCTGCGATTCTTTGCAGTATGTCTCTTGTGCTCATTAAAACAAATGCAACTACTAGTGTCCTATGAGTTCCCCAAGACCTCTAATAGTGGAACCAAAAGGCCATTCTGTGCACTCATTTATTTCAGCATTTGACACCACTGACCTATCCCTCTTGAATGGACCTATTTTCATTATCTGCACTACTTCATCATGGATCCTCTCCCACTTCTCTGTTATTTCCCTTACTCTTTCACTGAAATTCCAATGACAAATGCCCTTGGGAATATAGTTTCTGAACTCCACCTCAGCAGTGCCCTGGATGAGCCCTGGCTGGAGATCTCACTGGAGGCTTCCACAGCACCTTAACTTAGACAAGTACTGCAAGCCCATCTAATGCAATGTGCAAATGAGGCAGTGTTATGGCTTGTGTCCAGATATACCCCCAAAGGCTCATGTGGTCATAGGCTATTTCAGAGATGGCTGGATCTAGAGTGTGTGATGCTGGAATGGATTCATGATGCAATGCTAGGCTCAAGGGCACTAGGATTAAGGGTGTGAGTGTTACCCACCCTAAGTAGTCTAGATAAAAGGGGCAAAAAGATAGTTAGGTTCCCTTTTTGATTTTGCTGTCTTCCTCTACCATGAACTGTTGCCCCTCTGCCATGTGCCACCCTGCCTTAGAGCCAGCCGATTATGGACTGAAACACTGCAAACTGTGAGCTAAATAAACTCTTTCCCTTTTAATTTTGGGTGTCAGGTATTTTGTCTCAGCAACGAAAGAGAACTAACATAGGCAGGCTCAGTACATTTCCCTGGACTCTTGGTTTTCCATTCTCTACATCAAAACTGAACATGTCCAAGAACTGTTCCTGACCTCAGTTGGGCTCCTATTACTCTCCTAACCCTCTCAGGTCTCCAACCTCTGTCTCCACAAGTTCAGGAGTTGGCAAGTCCAATTCTGTGAGTGTCTTTTCCTCTCCTGGCCTCCACCCCAGTTCCATGTCATTGTACTTGTCACCAAGTCCTTGCTTTCATCAGCCTCCCCTCAAATCCAGGTCTCCTGCCACAGTCCCATATAAGCAGGCTCCTGCTCCTCCCAAGCACTTCTCCCCCTTCACTTCTCCCCCTTGACTCCTCAGTGAAGGGCTCTGCAGAAACTTAGAACTGAACAGGAAGTTAAGGAAGCCTGCATCCAAAGGCAGTACTATGTTATCCTAGTACTAGCAGATTGCTTTTCCAAAAGTGAAAAATCCCTCCCTTGTTCCACTTAAGAAAGTTGATTCTTTAACTATATGCATACATGTATACCAACACACATACTTGTTTTAGTTATTCCTTTCCACACACCAGTGTATGGAGTGGTGCTTGCCATCATTTCTGTTTGTTTGTTGTTAGCTTACCTTTTTTTTTTTTGGTACCCACGACCTTGTGCTTTCTAGGCAGGCGGCAGAACCACTGAGGTAAATCCCCAGCCCATGTTGTTGGCTTACCTTAATCAGCCTATTTGAATAAACTTTTACGCTGGTCTCTAGACTCTCTCTCCAGTACTCCTTGCTTGGCTTTCACTTGTGCTGCAGTTGTATCCACCACCTAGAGAAGCTGGTGTCAGGGGCTGTCTCCAAGACCCTGCTCTACCATCAGGTCCCAGGGCCATCCAGCCATATCCAGGCAGTGGAAAGGTATCCTAACCTTGGTACCCTTAGGCTGGTATCCCCTATCCACCCACACAACCCTGCTGTCCTCTAAATCCCCTTCCACCAGCACACGCACACGCACACGCGCGCGCGCGCGCACACACACACAGTGACTGGAGAGAAACGGCCTCCAGACAGGTGTCACAGTAGACATTCTAAGAGATCTCTGACACTCTAAGAGATTCTCAGGTGGACGGCTACTTGCCCTGCCAATTTATTATTTCCTGGGGTTCCAGGACTCAGCAACTTTCTCTGAGGGACAGACGCACCCTTACACACTCAGATTTATCCTACTGTTATTTGTGGCTGGTAGAGATGAAGGTGTGAGGAGAAAAGAGAATATGCGAGGCCCAGACTGCTGCCCCCAGGGCGGGGAGACAGAAGGGAGGAAGAAGTGAGGCCTGGAAGGGGTGGGGACCGCTGGGCCCGCCCAGGCTGGACTGCACTGTGTGTGCGCCAAGCACTGAAACTGCCTGCACGTCGGGGCAGCAGGGCAGAGGCCAGGGTGAACTGGAGTTTCCAAGAGTCTTGCTCCTCCCGTCCAAGCCATGGCAGAGAATTCCGATAAAGTTCCCATCACGCTGGTGGGCCCTGAAGACGTGGAGTTTTGCAATCCCCCGGTGAGTACCCCCCCAGGACCCACCGACGGGGGTCTGAGATTTGTGCTGCTTGCCGGATATGGGGGAAGGGGCACAAACGTGGGTGCCCAAATATGTGCACGGGGTGGTCCCACGAGTGTGAGAGTAGAAGGGGCCCGAGATCCACAGACGCGTGGGGAGGGGGCTCCCTGTGGCAGCAGAGAATGCAGAGCCGCAGGGCAGTAGCCCTGCACCCCGAAAAGTTTGCGTCTGCCACTTGCACAGGTGGGGACAAAGGACCCTCTGGAAGGAACAGGCTGAAAGGGGGCCCTGAAGGAGCCAGGGGCGGGCCGTTTCCCACCCACTTCCCTGACTCTCTGGGGCATGGCGCGGGCACAGCGAGGTGGGGGCGACCCAGACACGACCCGCCCCTCCCCCCCCC